CTTCGGCTGTATCGCAGCAGTTTGCACCCTACACAGTTGCATTTATTGTAGCATATGGTAAAAGTGAATATAATGATTTTAACTTGATTTTTATTCTTCAGTTTGTATGRCAGCTATATGCTATAGTGAACGGATCTAAATAATTTCTCCGAAGATAGTAGCTCAGACTTCAAAAATAAGCTGTACTGAATTTCGTTACGTTATCTTGTCAAATTAAAAAGTTTTCCTTATAAGKAGTTCATCTCTACCGATCAGTTTGTATGGCAGCTATATGCTATAGTTAACCGATTTTAAAAATTTCTTGCGAGATTGTAGCTTCGGTTTTAAAAATTATCTATGTTAAATTCTGTCAATATATTTTGTTAAATTAATGTGTTTTCCAARCAAYGACTTSATTTGGATCGATCAGTTTGTATGACAGYTATATGCTATAGTTCTCCGATCCAAAGAATTTCTCTGGAGATAGYAGTACGGGCTTTAAAAATAATCTGTAGCGAATTGTGCTACGATATCTTGTAAAATAMAAAAGTTTTCCATAAAAGGACTTGATTGTGATCGGTCAGTTTGTATGGCAGCTATATGCTAYAGTGGACCGATCTAAAAAATTTCTTCGGATATTATAACCCAGASTTTGGAAATAATCTATGTCAAAYTTGATGAAGATATCCACTCAAATAAAAAAGTGTTCCATACAAAGGCTTAACAGATGGGTCTGGCTACATCATGACCTTATAATRTTTTTAACAAAAAATTTGCTGAATAAAAAAATCATAATATTTAATTATCAAATTCAACTTACTCTTCCACTTCGGTTTTGAAATTCTCCGAACATACAGCGCGCTTAACACACTTGCCATCCACGCCAAAGTCCACGTAATCCTGACCCTGTTTGAGTAGCGGCAAATACTTCAGGAATATMGTTTCACCTTGCGTATTCCGATATGAGCAAACCGGTTCGTTGCCTGCAATTTGGAATGGTATTACTGCCGTTTACTTAACAAACACAACAACAACAACACAAGCAAATATAAAGATGGCGACCATTTAGAAATATCCAGGCGTTCAAGGCTTATATAGACTTGTGTAGCCTACTTACCGGCGTTGACGCCTATGGCCAGCATACCGGCCAACAATAAGAATGCTATGACTAACTTCATGTTTGGAAAACTATATTTTTCGAAAACTGTATGGTCGCAAGTTGCTTGGATCCGCGGTTTCTGCACTATTTGTCCGCCCACGATTGCTTAACACAAATCACTTTCGCTACCGCACTCACACTGATTCCAGGAAACTACGCTAAGCGCTTATTTATATGCAACGTCGTCATTTTGCTGTTTGCGCCGGTTTCCGACAAAGATGAAAAAGCACAGTTGAGATTTCTATGCGAAATATTACGATGCGCGTGATTAGATCAGCCAGCCGATTTAATTTATTTTGAAGTTGAATTTCGCTGCCACARCATAATAGTTGGGGCATAGAGAGCTCTACATTCTCTTCTTACTTACACACTTACGCACTTACAAACACATATCTGTGTATCCACTAAATGCTCGTCGGCTCACGTTTGTTCGTGCTTTCAGTATTAACTAGTTCCGTTATAGCGTTCAACTAGCTTTGTGGTGATTAAGCTTTCAACTTTACTATTTGCAAGATGCGCCGTGCTAGATTGTTTTCTTTTTATTCTTCTCGTGGGAAGCGTCGTTTCGAAAAAGTTGGTTGCACTGTGAAAATGSTTTTCAGGGTCAATTGTTTAAATTAAATGGATTATGCGTCCTCATGCTTATTAGTGATGAAAAAATACATTATAATTTGCAAGGTGCACCAAGAAGTAGCGTATTTTATTTCGTTGGGCTCAATCATACAAATTTCGAGACTTTCAGGAGACTGTTATTATTGATGCACGCGAAGTCGGCGCTAGTGTGAACCGACGCCAGACTGAAACGAGCTTTTCAAAGTCCCCCATTCTTTCTACATTGATTCATCATCAGCTGGTCCCCTGTCGTCCTGCACTTGGGCGCTGGATCTATTGGCTTCACGCGAGCTCAGTAAGCGTTCATCAATCATCAGCACTTTTGGGGTTGCGAAAGTCTTGTGGCTATGCAGCGCAAGTCCATGAAATTGCCAGCTCTTAGTAAGGCATAACATGACCGCATTGATAGGTGTCCTAAACTGTCCTACTGGATTTCACGYTGGGGGCCACATATTTTGSASRACGCAACTTCTAGAACATCTAGACACCTTCTCCTGCACTGCCCAGCTTTCGCCAGACTAAWGTTAAAGCATCTTGGTTGCCATACTTACTACGAACCAGGAGACTAGGCTGGAGTTGATATTARCCAGCTCAATTAATTTGTGGCTGTYTCTARACGCTTTGTAAATACACGATGGTCTTTTTGATCCGTACTTAGGAGTTCTGCATCACAACAGGCAAGCGTGTCGAACAGTGCAGGTGGACTTATTCGTAGTCTCACGAATATCAGCCTATTTACCGACCCTAACCTAACCATCGTCAAAAATATGTCCCTCTATTCATAAATTCTTCAGGGCTAAAGTAGGCATAGAATCCAACGGATGCAAGCAAAGAAGCCGAGCGATAAAATGCCAATATCTCAGAAGATAATAACTCTCTAGATTCGCTGTGAAGAGAAACAAAATCATATAACCATAATATCGGTTAGCGTAACTCTACAGAGATAAWTTTTAGTCGAAGAATAGATGATCCTGGTTAGGTACAGGAATTACGTAGGTCAGAAATATCATTTACTTRCTGTATTTGCAAGAATCTACTTAGTCGTAGCTAATAATAGATAAACCGGAGACTAGAGGATTCTCAAAGCAACATATTTAGGTTAAGCAGATACTTATTGTGTATTTCAGACTTTGCTRTGGTCGAAACCGAAAGTTAGACTTACCATTATCTAATAGAATTCTTTACCTACCCAAGCTTATGACAGCTAGCACATTGATACCTTGAGGATTACTCCTTAATTTATTAAAAAAAAAATAATAATAATAGCTTTATAAAATATCTTCATTTACCAACTCTTCTCTCCCGTTTTCTCCCACACAGACGAATTCATCGATCGTGAGACGGGTCTTGCGAATCCTGCGCTCGTCTATGATGAGCTAGACTATCCACATCTCTATTCACAGTTCGACGGCGGTGGCGCTATAACGATGACCAGCAATATCGATTCCACCCAACCACGTGCMTACGTAGTCAACGCTACCGATAGCATTGATGGTGAGAGCAGGGACTACACACCCGAGCTGGCAGAGGAAGATGACGAGGAGAAGGTGACACGCTGCGTGCCTGATTTTCAGTTCTCGCTCGTCGATTCGGAATATGACGAGACGCTGGCGTTTCCCGAYTCCGTGACGATATTGTCGAATGTCGGCGATAAGCCAGTGCTGGTACARCGCAAAGACACCGACGACGATGACGATGAGGAGGAGGGCGCTGGTGCATTTACGGGACAACCTTCGGAGATACCATACAGCTCCATATATGGACCGAGCATGAAATTCAATTCCTTTCAGCGCAAAGTATTCATACCCGGCATGGAGATACAGGTGCGCATAATCGACAACGAACGCAGTGTGACGACGCACTTGTTGAATCCAAATTTGTAAGTTCACTCATTATGTTAATATACTGTCAGTAAAGTGTGTCTCTCTTTTCTGCCGGTGCGTAGGTATACCATCGAACTGACGCATGGACCCTTCACGTGGACCATCAAGCGTCGCTACAAGCATTTCAATTCGCTGCATCAGCAGCTTAGTTTCTTCCGCACCTCACTGAACATTCCATTCCCGATGCGCAGCCACAAGGAGAAGCGTGCCACAATTAAAAAGGCAGCCATACAGATGGCTGATGAGGCGCGTCTGAAGTCCATGCAGATGTCGCAAACCCAGACAACGCTCTGTGAGACGAGTCAGAAAGTGCAAAGTAACGGCAACAGTAATGCCATCAATACCATGGTACTGGCGAGCACCAGCAATAGTCCWCTRTCAAATCTGGGTATAACGGGCAAGCGAAAGAAGAAGGAGAGAAAGCTGCCACGTTTCCCCAATCGACCCGAATCGCTTATAACTGTCGAGTCACTGCCTACGCGTATCAAGCAATTGGAGGAYTATCTGTACAATCTACTGAACATCAGCTTGTATCGAAATCATCACGAAACGGTGAGTCKAAAAGGCTTAAAAGCTTTCGGTTCTTAAAGCTCATGAATCTWATATTACTAAATATAACGTTGCTTTCCAACAGCTTAACTTCGTTGAAGTCTCAAATGTCTCCTTTGTGTCCGACCTCGGCATCAAGGGTAAGGAGGGCGCTATACAAAAGCGTACCGGCTCCACGCGTCCTGGGCAAGCGGGTTGCAATTTCTTCGGTTGTTTTCAGCAGAAGTGCTGTGTGCGCTGCAGCTTCTTTTGTTCGGACGTGCTGTACGGCAAATGGCGTAATCGTTGGTTTTTCGTCAAAGAGACCTGCTTCGGCTACATACGTCCCACCGATGGTGTCATTAGGTACAAACTCCGCAGCTGAATTTTTGAATATCATATGTTATTGATTGTTGATTTTACACTCCAATTTGTAGATCTGTGATATTATTCGATCAGGGTTTCGACGTCTCCACTGGTATCTATCAAACCGGCATGCGTAAGGGTCTGCAGGTGCTCACCAATAATCGTCACATTATACTCAAGTGCTGGACGCGTCGTAAGTGCAAAGAGTGGATGCTATACCTCAAGCAGACCGCAAATAGTTATGCGCGCGACTTTACCTATCCCAACCCGCATATGTCGTATGCGCCGGTGCGTTCTGGTATACAAGCGAGTTGGCATGTCGACGGTTCTACTTATATGGGTGCCATAGCGGATGCGCTTGAAGAGGCAAAAGAGGAGATCTACATCGCTGATTGGTGGTTGAGTCCGGAGATTTATATGAAACGGCCAGCGGTGGATGGCGATTACTGGCGCTTGGATAAGATACTACATCGTAAAGCGGTAAGGAAATTGACTCCATAAAATCTCGATCAAGAAAGTAATTTATCCTTCTCTCTTTATTTCTTTCTTTCTCTCTCTCTCTCTCTCTTTCTCCCTCTCTCTCTCTCTCTCTCTCTCGCTCTCTCGCTCTTCCTGCAATTACAGTCACAGGGCATCAAGGTGTTCGTGCTACTCTACAAAGAGGTCGAAATGGCTTTGGGCATTAATAGTTACTACAGCAAACAGAGGCTTTCACACGAGAATATAAGGGTATATCTCTAACATTCATATAAAGTAAAGTATGACTCACATTTCTTCCGCTTTGTGCACATAGGTGCTCCGACATCCAGATCATGCGCGCGCTGGCGTGTTCTTCTGGGCTCATCATGAAAAGATTGTTGTGGTCGATCAGACTTACGCTTTCATCGGTGGTCTCGATCTCTGTTATGGCCGTTGGGACGACTATCGACATCGTCTGACTGACCTTGGTAGCATATCCACGGCCTCTGCTTCGGGCAGCACACGACGTTTAGGCAGTTTCTTTGCTAAGGACGATGCGGACTCTGCCTTTGGTTCGCAGAAGTCCTCACGTAAATGTGCGAATGTAAATAGCGACCTACAGAAAAGCGAAAAATTAAGCGCAAACATCAAAGAAACCCAATTTGAAGAGGTCGAGCTACGCACACTGGCGCCAGGCGATAAACTTGTGATACCTGAATTGCTTTCACCGCCCACAAGCGAACAGATCGCCATCGAAGGCATGAAATTAAATACACCCGAAATGGAGCGTAAAAATGTTTTGGAGAAAATCACCACGAATGCGATGCGTAAGGGCAAAGACTTGGTGAGTCGAYTAACAATGACCGAACACGAGCGCAGCGSAAGTGATAAATCACCTGATGTGCTGAGAGATCCCAAACAGCTGGTGTTCACCATTGATGAGGTGGAAACTGGWCGCTTGGGTGGTCTAGAGGATCCCACGCCGTTCCAAACGCAAATCCTGAACGATTACTATGGTCAAGCYAAGTATTGGTTCGGCAAGGACTACTCCAACTTCATACTYAAAGACTGGATGAACTTAGATGCGCCGCTCGTCGACATCATAGATCGCTCGACAACACCACGTATGCCTTGGCATGATGTGGGCGTGTGTTTRGTGGGTGCAGCGGCGCGCGATGTGGCGCGTCACTTCATACAACGYTGGAATGCTGTGAAGCTGGAGAAGATGCGTGATAATGCCAACTTTCCATATTTAATGCCAAAGAGTTACAACAACATCAGCCTGAATCCAAATATTACCTTGAAGCGTCAGAATCGTGTTACGTGTCAGCTGCTGCGCAGCGCTTCTTCATGGAGCTGCGGCTTCATCGAGCAGGATTTGGTTGAGCAGAGCATACATGATGCTTACATACAAACAATAACGAAGGCGCAGCATTTCATCTACATTGAAAATCAATTCTTCATCACAATGCARTTGGGCGCGACGGGCGCGTATGGCAATGTGCGCAATCAGATTGGTGAAACGCTGTTCAAGCGTATCGTGCGCGCGCATAAGTGAGTATGAGTGGCGCCGWGAGTTAACACCAAAAACCTAGCCTCAAAATTATTRTTATTATTTTCCTTTTTTTCTTTTTGTTGTGTTTAGAGAGCGTAAGACGTTCCGTGTATTCGTGATCATACCGCTACTGCCTGGCTTTGAGGGCGATGTTGGSGGCAGCACTGGCAATGCGGTGCGCGCCATCACGCATTGGAACTACGCATCGATATCACGGTARTTCAGTAATATTTTCCCGACTTCTAATTACTAATTCTGAAATGTATTGTTACAGCGGTCGCTCKGGCATACTCACACGCCTGCAGGAGGTCGGCATAAAAGATCCCGGTGAATACATCTCCTTCCACAGTCTACGCACAAATTCACAGCTCAACAATAATCCCATCACCGAGCTTATCTATGTTCACTCCAAGCTCTTAATCGCAGACGATCGCGTAGTTATATGTGGCTCGGCAAATATCAACGATCGTTCCATGATCGGCAAACGTGATTCGGAAATTGCAGCGATCATTACCGACGAAGAGTTTGAAGATGGACGCATGAATGGTAAAAAGTATCCGAGCGGCGTGTTCGCTGGACGGCTGCGCAAATTTCTATTTAAAGAGCATTTAGGCTTACTCGATCCAGACGCGGATCGTATGCCAATCGATGTCACGGACCCGGTGATAGATCAGTTTTGGAATGGYATGTGGCGACGTACGGCAACACGCAATACTGAGCTTTACGAAGAGATCTTCAAATGTCTGCCAACGGATAAGGTGAAATCGTATGCAGATYTGCGAAAATATCAGGAGGAACCGCCGCTGTGTAAGTCCGATCCGGAAATGGCTATGAAGCGGGTGGCGAATATACAGGTGAGAGTGACGGATATTTGAAAAATTTATAAGTAATTATATGAATTAAATATGTCTTTTGGAGTATGATGTGTCCTTAGTTTTTTTTCTGCGTACTGAAAGCAATTTTATCTCCATCTAGTTTCTAATTATCAACAAAAGCCTATATCTTATATGTATAAATATGTATAAAACTACTTAATCATTTGTTTTACCATCTATGCAGGGTTTCCTAGTCAACTTGCCATTGGACTTCCTCAACAAAGAGGTGCTAAAACCGCCTGGCACCAGCAAAGAGGGACTCATTCCGACCGCCGTGTGGACGTAGTCTCAGRCCTGCATTTACGCTGTTAAAAACTTGCTACAATGTATTTATTACTACTATTATTATAATTTTAACCATTTTTGTTACAATTACTTCCATTATTATTTTTATTAAGCTAATTTTATTATTGCCACAACTATAATTAAGAAGCGTAAAAAATTGTAAAGTTTAAAGTGCTTTATTAGCATGTAAGTGTAGGGTAAGCTTAGCTTAGYTTAAGTGACTTTATTAGTTTAACGTTTCAATGGACAATAGATCTGCAATTTTAATTTAGACTAGCTTAGCGATTACACCTATTTTTTCGACAGTATTTTAGTTTCGAAGACATTTTACGAACGTCTTCTCCACTGTATACTACTTGTCATAGATTTTAATAAACTATTTTTAATAGAAAATCAAAATAAAATATCTAAGATATGTCAAGAACCTTGCATTTTCGCCTGTAGTTTGTTGATTGGAAAGGGAGCGGAAGGAGCGGCAGGAGCTGTAGGGTACAGGCGGCCACCCATGGTGCTCCCTTGTGGTATCCAAAGCAATTTAGWCCAGCAAATCAGTAGATTTGATAAAATGTCTGATTTTTTCCCACCTCAGCTGAAAAATATCTTTCAAGTTTTAATGTTGAGTGCTGTGGTAAATCCTGAAGGCAAATACTCTGAGCAGCTTCTTGCTCATTCAACGGAACGATGGAAATCGGACCGCAATAGTATATATGTATGTAGCTGCTATAGAAGCTGATCGAGCAAAAGCAACTTCCTTTATGGAAAATTTGTGTATTTGATGAGACTTCTTCACGAAAGTTGGCATGGAAAACAYTCTCGCTTGTGAAGGATATAATAGCTTCCAGGTATCCGAGCACTTTTAACGCTTGTTCTTTCCTTGTATAATACCGTCAATCATGATAGTATTTTATGGCCCTTAAGAATATTGCATAAAGTTCTTCTATGCTAAATGGTTTAAAACGAATCAGCAGCAGAGGAAGCRCCATTTCGCAAGTTGGTTTAAAATCGAATTGAAAGTGAACTTCTGTTCCACAACATTGATTCTAAGTTGTTAAAACTATTCTTGATTCATTTCCGAGTAATGATTGTTTCCTCACGGTTCAAAGAACTCTTTAGAAAGTGGCATAAAGTGGCATATGAAGCTACAATACTGAAAGGGAACTCGCTTTTCGACGGTAACCTACGTTAATACTTCCAATAACAGCAATATCAATACAGCTCGCCGTTGGCCACTTTCTTCTATTCCAGCATCCCGACAAATGCTCAAYTGTTCTGGATTCCTTTCCGGTTAAGAATTGTTCACTCATGGCCCAAAGAACTCTCCCTTTTCGACGGTAATGTATACTTCCAAGAACAACAATATCAAGAATATATCTTTGGTCACTTTCTTCTACTGCTGCATTGTTAGAAATCCTCTTTTTCTTTAATGAAACTATTTTATWCACCAAAATTAAAACTTAAAACAATTCAACAACTTCGTTCATCGGAAATAATTTAAGAAAACAGGGGGATCATCAAAATTAAAATTTAATCCTTAAGCTCACACACAGATGACGCTAAATAATATGCGGAACCCGAAAAACTTGTCAACATTGCCATTTCTACTTTCAATTGAATTTACTCCAAATTCCATTAAACCAAAAAGTAGCATTAATACAGTGCAAAGTAAACATAGAGAACGAAGAGCATAAGTGCTACGCTCAACAAAACAATTGGCAACGAGTAAGCAAAAGCAAAACAAAATTAACACAAAAACAACAGCAAACACACTGAGRYGTGCAAACAAGTATGCGCGGAGAGCGTTACCAACAACAGAGCTTTGCACTAGAAGAAGCAAAAAGYCAAAAGCAAACAAACAACCGGTCAGTAGCGCTCATGCTACCGAAATCGCACGAGAGTACACCGCCAAATGTGAACGAATGCAACGATAACACTCCGACTGACGGCAGCAGAGAGAGTGCAATAGCAGCGCTGCCAGCATTGTAACATTGCAAAAGCGCGGTTGGCTGGGTCAGTTCGTTGTCTCGTTTCGTGTGGTTAGGAGTCGAATTGAATCGAATRGCATTGGTAAGCATCGAACAGAGTGTTTTGTGCGAATTTGTACGGATTAATTCATAGAATAAAGTGTATGTTTGAGCCGAAATTATTTAATTAAACGGTGCATTCAACGAAAACAGAAAGTTTGTGGAAAAAGTGAAGTTGAAGCAACGCAAAATCGTGTAAGAAATTGTGTGCGGGCGTGAAAGCGAAATGAAGTGCAAGTGAATTGGCGAACAGCGAGTGCTGCGAGCAAAGCGAAGTTTGTGGAGCGAGCGGAGGTGGAGTGCGACGAACAAGGTAATGTGTAAGAATTTCGGTAGTTCGCGGTGGCATTTAGTTTAAGATTGTAGTAAGTAGTTGAATATGTTTAGTGCTTTGGTGGCATTCTCAAACGAAGTTAGTGCTTTTGTGTTACGATATGATTGTTTGAGGTGATGCAGGCTTGAAAATTGGTATTGATCAATATTGCGCTGTTTAGTTCAAGCAATAAAAGTTGCTAATAAAATTAATAACAATTAAGAATTTGTGACCAGAAAATGTTCTATGAGTATTTAGACGCTTAGTTTTTAATCAAGTAAACCGCCGAAAAGTTAGATAATTTAATACGTGAGTAACTACAATATAAAATAACACACACACACATGTGGAGAAATGTAAATACATAAATTACTGACCTGCAGCGACGAAAAACTTCTTTGCTGGTATACATAAAAGTTCGCGTGTTACTATCAAAATAAGCATCCTTGTTTTTGTYATTGTGACTTTTGCTCGCTACATGCTGCACATTCTCGCTGTGCTCGGTATACTTGTGGCATGCAGGCAAGTTGTTGTTCTGCTTTGTGTCGTTGCACTACCATGCTTGTAAGTTAAAAAATACCACAACAACAATGCGGATGACATAGGAAGTGAAACGTTAGTACGAAGCTCAGCGCAGGTATAATAAAAAATAAAAAAAAAAACAAATAAGCGAATGCCAATAAGTAAGGCAATGACAGTGAAATGTGTTTGGTTGGCGAGTTAGTTCCTTAACTTCGTATGCAACACGGCAGCAAGCAACCTGCCACAAAGGAAATGCAATAATACAACAATATATGTAAGTGTGTGAGAACAGTAGTTGCTGACAGCAGAACTAAAGTAGCGTAAAACAGCTGAGATGAGACAAAGCGACTTAAGCGAGAAGGCTATTAGAACAAACGAAGCCATAAATAAATATGTATTTCTATGTAAGGATATGTGCGCAGCGAATGCGAAATAGTTAGTGTAGAAAGAGTGATGCAAACTGCCAGTGAATAAGAAACGGCGTATACAGTCAAAGATACCAYGCAAAGGGCTTGCATGCAAATATGTGACTTTGTGGTGTAAAAGGAAGAAATTTGGAAGAATAAGTAAAACAAACAAAAACTCAAGTTACATAATTGACAGGTAGATGGACTTCCGAAATGGTCAAAAAATTTCTATACATGTATATGAGTATGTGCTAATATACATATATTTATGTAAAACTCCGCTCAGCTATAAAGTTAAAATATTTAAACGAGACGCGGCCTTAAGCAATTTGAGGTAATGATCTGACAATTTAGACAAGTTTAAGTGTCATAACGTACAGCCAACTATTGCAGTCCAGTTTATCTAACCTAAACTAGATGATTGGCCGGGCATGACTTCAAAACACGGGTGTGACTTTGAAAAKACTTSCATAACTCAAACTTCTATAACTCGAACTCTCGAATTGGCATAGAAGTCAAATTTCATATGAATTTCCATAACTCGAAATCTCTATCTCGATTTTTTTTGTGAAGTATGGTGAGTCCTGTTACGGAAGTTCTACTCTATGCGCCTAAGTATTGATAAGAATAATGCTCTCAAACCGCAACATAAAATCTGAAAATTATTGAAAGTTCTTCAGAAAAAGTTCCAGAATAAGGAATTTTTTGTATTTTAAAAATAAAACCATTAAAAACTTGAAACTTGAAATAATAACGAGGAAAACTCCAAAACCTTAACTTCGGCTACAGCCTTCAGAGGCACATTTTTTAATTTTTTCGGTATCAATTGGCAGTGTGGAATGCATACCAACCCCCACTGAACCCCATATTCTCAACACACGCGCCTACAAATCACACAAGAACCAAAGCTATTTGTCTTTGGCGCCTAAATAACTTGCGCGCAAATATTTCAAACCATTCTAACTGTTTGGCACTCCAACTAGTAGAAATCATATCGCTTAGATTTGACCGTGCGTCTGTTCAGCTAATCTCCATTCCCTCAAGGTTACTGATGTTCGAGTACATTGTGCAATGACATGTACCCAATTCTCAAGGCGTGCTCTAGAAAGTCAGACCTTTTCGAAAATGCATTCAGCRGTGCATGCCCAGTAATTAGGAAGCCCAAGCTCAGAGAGAATCTGAAATCTATGTTTACTTTAACATACTCAACATCCCAAATGTACTCGTAAGTCACCCAACCGTTACGGCTATTATCCTAACGAATTTGCCGAACCCTTTCATCTATAAGCCYCCTGCCTCCTAGATATCCCTCCCTCTCTACATCGTCTTCAGAGATCCAGTCRTTCTGTAGCAATGTCACACTTAAACCCCTTTTTAACCTAAATGCAACAGTTCGTTATTAGTTATACAATTGAGTTCAACCTCCTGAAAATTTTTATATAATAACATGAGTATAAAATAACCATTAAGTTTAGTTTTAGATCATTTCCTCTTGGTGGTTTATAGCAAAACATGATCCAAGGCTTACTGAGGTTGCTTACTGGTACAATAGGTTTATATAATATTGTATCAACTCGAACCGTAAATCTTTAAGTCAAAGTTTTTCTGCAACGTTCCAGCAATGTGAAAAAAACCTTGCATAATTACTAATACATTCCATATTGAAATCTGAAAACTAAAGAAATGAGAAAAATAAGAAGGCAACACGTACAAAAGCTTGTCTTGAGAATGCTGGCAAAGTAGTAAAGGAGCAACAAAAACAAGAAATATGCAAAAACACCAACAGAACGCGGAGTGCAAAAACCACAAGTCAATCAAAACAAAACAAAACATAAAAAGCAAAAATAAAAACAAGCATCCAAAACTTGCACAGCAGCTTTTTGCCAATGCAGCGCACACAAACACTGATACACACACAAACCCATGTGGATARCAAATATAACAACAAACACGTAGTATTTGCGGATAAAGAAAACACAAGTCGCCAAAGAAACTCACACACAAAGCAAAATGTAAACATAAACTAACGAAATAAAACATGGCAAACACAMGAACACAGAATAAAGACAAACGCAAAGGCAAAGAAAAGCAAAATAAAAAGCATGCAAAAGTCAAGCATAACTAWAGATGTGTGTGTGAGTGTTGTTGTATTGCAAAA